GCCGCCATCTTGGCTGACAGTTAATTTGCATAAGGATATGCTGATTAGCCAATGGGAAGGGTAGCGGTCGTATGCTAATTACCATGTTTCTCTTTTATTAGTGTAGACTAGAGGCCTGGTGCATGAAATTCGTGCACTTGGGGGGTGGTAGGAGGTGTCCCTGTGGGATCAGGCCTAATCCAGCAGTCGGACATCCCTCTCACAATCTAGGACGCTGGCTCCCAACTGCTCGCCTGCCTGCCTGATTGCCCCTAACCGCTTCTGCCTGCCAGCCTGATCATCCCCTAACCACTCCCCTGCCAGCCTGATCAACGCGTAACTGCTCCCCTGCTAGCCCGATTGATCCCAACTGCCCTCCCATGCTGGCCTGGTGTCCCCTAACTTCCCACCCCTGCTGGCTTAGTTGCCCCCAACTGCCCTCCCCTGCCGGCCTGATCACCCCTAACTGCCCTCCCCTGTAGGCCTGGTCACCCCCAACTGCCCTCCCTCCCCAGCCGGCCTGGTCACCCCCAACTGCCCTCCCTCCCCAGCCGGCCTGGTCACCCCCAACTGCCCTCCCTCCCCAGCCGGCCTGGTCACCCCCAACTGCCCTCCCTCCCCAGCCGGCCTGGTCACCCCCAACTGCCCTCCCTCCCCAGCCGGCCTGGTCACCCCCAACTGCCCTCCCTCCCCAGCCGGCCTGGTCACCCCCAACTGCCCTCCCTCCCCAGCCGGCCTGGTCACCCCCAACTGCCCTCCCTCCCCAGCCGGCCTGGTCACCCCCAACTGCCCTCCCTCCCCAGCCGGCCTGGTCACCCCCAACTGCCCTCCCTCCCCAGCCGGCCTGGTCACCCCCAACTGCCCTCCCTCCCCAGCCGGCCTGGTCACCCCCAACTGCCCTCCCTCCCCAGCCGGCCTGGTCACCCCCAACTGCCCTCCCTCCCCAGCCGGCCTGGTCACCCCCAACTGCCCTCCCTCCCCAGCCGGCCTGGTCACCCCCAACTGCCCTCCCTCCCCAGCCGGCCTGGTCACCCCCAACTGCCCTCCCTCCCCAGCCGGCCTGGTCACCCCCAACTGCCCTCCCTCCCCAGCCGGCCTGGTCACCCCCAACTGCCCTCCCTCCCCAGCCGGCCTGGTCACCCCCAACTGCCCTCCCTCCCCAGCCGGCCTGGTCACCCCCAACTGCCCTCCCTCCCCAGCCGGCCTGGTCACCCCCAACTGCCCTCCCTCCCCAGCCGGCCTGGTCACCCCCAACTGCCCTCCCTCCCCAGCCGGCCTGGTCACCCCCAACTGCCCTCCCTCCCCAGCCGGCCTGGTCACCCCCAACTGCCCTCCCTCCCCAGCCGGCCTGGTCACCCCCAACTGCCCTCCCCTGTAGGCCTGGTTCCCCAAAACTGCCCTCCCCTGCTGACCTGGTTACCCCCCACTGCCCTCCCCTGCCGGCCTGGTCGCTCCTAACTGCCCTCCGCTGCTGGCCTTATCGCCCACAACTACCCTCCCCTGCCACCCATCTTGTGGCCATTTTTGACCACATGGGGGCGGCCATCTTGTGTGAGGGCGTGATGGTCAATTTGCATATTACCTCTTTATTGTATAGTATTTTATCTTTTTGTTTTTGTTGCTGGTAAAATGGATGATTAATACAACTTTAAAACATATAGAGGCCATCAAGAGTGCTAATGTTTCTAAGGGTGTGAAAGAAACAGTGGTCACAGGCAATTGAAGAGGTAGAAAAACTGTTGATTTAGATAAAGAAAAATCAGTTAATGTGTGACTGCATTTCCAAGGCAGTGATATGTGAAAAAGCAAAGACATTGCATGCTGACTTCCTGAAAGACACCCCTGGAGTGAGTGGTAAAGTGATTTATTTAAGGCTAGTAGGGGGTGGTTTAATAAATTTAACAAAAGAAGTGTTTCTTTATAGAGTAAACAGTATAATAGACATGTACTGTATATAAACAAGGTTAAAACAGGGACTCATTTGGAGGACTGGAACAAATAAATTCAATTTACATTATTTCTAATGGGAAAAAATGATTCAGTTTTTGAGCAAATTGCTTCTTGAACAGTTGTCCTGAATGAATTTATTTTGAGAACTGAGGTTTCACTATATTATGAATTTTACTAAACTATGGAGAGTTTAGGTATTTAGTGTCTTTTGCCTCAACCTGATGTATTTGGCTTTGGAGGAGACTTGAGTATGGAAGAAATAGGTTTTGCCAGGAGATGATGTGAGAATACCAACTGTTTGGGTAAGGGACCAAAGTTAGGTGAAAGAACATTATATACAGGAATGGGCAAAGTAGATTTACAGTTGTTTGTATGGAAAAAAACATACAGGTGATAATTATTATAGTAGCTTTCTTAACTTAGAATGTCACTCACAACTGTAAACCTATTTTTGCCCACCCCTGTGTGTGTGTGATATTCTTAATAGCTATCAGTAAAATTTTTAATTCTCACAATAAGCAGTTTTCCTGCCATTAGTAATTTGGGGCATTTTATGCAAAGTATGGATAATATGTGACATTGTATTAGTTGCAAAGTGGTAAAATACCTTTATTTTATCTCTCAGTTGTACAAATTTTAGGAGTAATACAGTTAAAACGGTTAATAAAGCAGGCAGGATTACCAGTTTCACCACTCTCATGGACACCATTCTTGTCTTAGTCCATGCAAATAAGGCCTTCTTAGTTGTGTGGAATTCAGGCCAGGTGGCTCAACTTGGCAGCCCTGTTTTGCCACCAACTTGGGACCCTGTGTCTCCTCTCAGCTGCCCTGAGGAGTCTGGAAGGCTTGGACTTGGGACCAGGTCTTTCCCCAGTTGCAGGGCCAGCTGCTCCCTTTTCCTGATAGCTAGGCAAGATCCCCAGCTTCCTGCTGAAGGAGAATGTGGGTTTGGGTAGGATAGTAACCAAAAAAAGTGGGGATCTATGAAGATGTTATCAACAGAAATTACTTCAATATACTGTTTGACAGATTGCTCATTTTTAAATATTATTTTATTGTAGATTTGCCATGTTTTATCTACTGTGTGCAAGAAGGAAGGTCTGAATCTCCCTTCACAGCTGGCTCGTAGACTTGCAGAGAAGTCCTGCCGAAATCTCAGAAAAGCCCTACTCATGTGTGAAGCCTGCAGAGTTCAACAGTGAGTTAAAGAGGCAGTTAGCACCAGAAACATTTTGGATAATAAGCATGCATCCATTTAGTTTATTGTGTTTTCTTTTTGTCATATAGATATCCTTTTACCGAAGATCAAGAAGTCCCTGAAACAGATTGGGAGGTGTATCTGAGGGAGACTGCCAATGCTATTGTCAGTCAGCAGACTCCACAAAGGTAACCAGTATAAAAGATGACTGTAAAAGTTTGGTCATCAAGGTAGTACAGCAATTCTAGTTTTAGGGTAGTGGATTTTTATTAGCACCATGCAATTTAGAATTATAATTAAATATTGAATCTAAAGATTAAACTTTAAAAAAGGGGGGGAGGATAAAATTTTAGAAATTTAATGATTTAGAATACAGTGGCATCTCGGTTCTCGAACTTAATTCGTTCCAGAAGGCGATTCGAAAAGCAATTTGTTTTAAAACCTAATTATTTTTTCTCATTAGAAATAATGTAAATTGAGTTAATCCATTCCAGACCCCCAAATGTTTCTTTTTTTACCTTTCTCAATTGCCTGTGAAAATTGTTTCGTGAGCACTTTCACTTAACAAATTCAGCACTCTTAATGGCCTCTTTATGTTTTAAAATTGTGTTAATTGTCCATTCCCCTTACCAAAATCAATAGCCAGATCAGACATGTGAACACCTCTGTTATAATTGGCAATTATATCTTTTTAAGCTCTAGTTTTTATTCTCACAACTTTAGTTTCCACTTTCTGCTATCACTAACCTTAGGAGCCATGGTGTCTTACTATATGTATTTAATAATAGTAGACAGCAACAAAGGCAAAAACAACAAAAACAAGAAAATATTAACAGCACAATTTCCTGAGATGTTAACGCGAAGTTTAGCAGTAAATTGTCTCATACTCATGTATTCTCTCCTTTGTCGCCTGAGAGGCAAGTGTCTGATCATACAGGTGTCAGCATGAAAGAGTTGTTGGTCAAGAACTGAAGTTTTGTTTGACACCTGAAACATTTTTTCCATGAACAACTTGGCCAAGAACCAAATTGTTTGAGATGGAAGATGTTCGAGAGAACCAACATTTGACTGTAGTTGGTGTGGTATAATGGCTTTTATTAAGCTGTTTACATGTAAATGTGGAACTTATATATAAATTAAAACACATCTTGGAATTTTTAGTTTTTCTTTTAGGATTTCAGATGACTTATATTTCTAGTTTTTTAATATAAAAAAGAACAATATAATTGATTTATAATTTATAATTTATAATTGACACCTCATATACTAGAAAGACATGAGACTATGAGTCAGACTTCAACTAATTTTTAGGTATGATATAATTCTGTTAAGAATAGTATTGTGCATATGCCGTTAGTATTTAGAAAGTGTATTGTGACACACCGATACACAGTTGATTCCATTTATTTCTGTGTGCCTGTTACTCAGTAGTGGCCATACTGAAAATGCTTCAACCACTAGTTGTTTGATTTATGACAGCTTTGATTGAGAAGGGCAATATGCTCTTCTCCAAATCAAGAGTGATAAGTTTAAGATCCACTCCCTTTGGCAATCCTGGAGAATGTTCCTTAGGCTCACCAAGACACAGCCTCCTACTCTTACTGTCTGTCAGAACTAGAAACCATCTTTAGATTTTATAGAAGGTAAGTGATTGTTTTAGGAAACAAAATAGATTGAGTGCAACCACTGAAATTTAAGCTTCCCTGGTTTATTTGAACGTAATCATGAGAATAATATGCCATGTTCCTCCTCTTTGGTGATATATCTGATGAATTTTAATTTTTATAAAAGAGTCTTCAAAGGATTTTATAACATGTACTCTTTGGCTATCATCTAGATTAGTGGAGGTGTATAGTCATATATAATGGGTATTAGTATTTCATCAGGGTTTGCTTTGGATTCCCATTCAATTATTTTAGTTGAATAGATTGCAAAAAGTGTCGAGTATCATAAAATAGTCTCTTCAGAAAAGAAACCTTGACTTTAGGAAAAAGTGTACAATCCATTTTGTACAATGCTGAGTAATTGAAGAAATGTCAGCCTTTAAAGATAAAATTCAAACAAAGCATGTCTAATGAGTCTTTTACTTTTGTAAAATATTTCCACACTGAAGATGACTTCCTTCTTTTTGTTGTGATTTTAAAGAAAAACTGATGATAGTAGTAGAACTTATTATTATTATGCTTTAATGATCATGTTTTAATTTTGAGATATACTACCATGTCCAAGAATAATCAAGGGCTTTGGAATCAGACTTGAATTAAAAGGCTACCTCCACCACATGAGTTTTGATGGAAGCTTAACGTCTCTGACCATTAAGTTTTTTTCAGTAACAGAGTGGTGGTGTTTGGAATTAATAGTGTACTGCAGTAAACTTCATATAGAGTATGGGATTAGAGCAGGGGTAGAGACCTTTTTTCTGCCAAGAGCCATTTGGATACTTCTAACATGATTTGTGGGCCATGTAAAATTATCAACTTAAAAATTAACCTATATTTGGTCAAGCATTTAATTAATTCACCGCTAATGCCTTGGCAGGACAAGACCAAATAAGGCCCGTGGGCCAGATGTTCCCCACCCTGTGTTAGAGAAAAGCCTGTCAGACATTGGAAGGGTATGGACTTTGGAGTAAGAGAGATCTGTGCTTAAATCAAGGCTCTGCTGTGGTCAACTTTGTTGACTTAAACTACCTGAGTCTTAGTTTTTTCATCTAAAAATAGATGGAGATAATGCCCACTCATAGCTGGTGTGAGGACTGATTTTTAAATTATTAGTTATAGTATGTTTCACATAACAAGTGCTTAAAAACATGCTGGATTTAAAAACAAAAACAACTTTTATTAAGCTTTATTATGGCACAGCTTCATAGTCCTGGATTCCCAGAATGGGGTTTGAACTTCTACTTTTAAGAAATCTTTCATAAATCACTTTCCTGATTAATCTGAAATAATAGAACATCTGTGATATTATTTTAGTGATAATTCAGAACATTTTTTTTCCCTTTAGGGTAGGTAAATTATATATTTATACTAATAAAAGGGTAATATGCTAATAGACCAGGTCGACCGAACATCTTCCAGTCGTCCGGTCTTCCTTCCGGACAAAGCCACGGTGGCGGGGGCTGAGGCAGAGGTGGTTAGGGGCGATCAGACAGGCAGGCAGATGAGCGGGTAGGAGCCAGCGGTCCTGGATTGCGAGAGGGATGTCCGACTGCCGATTCGGGCCTAAACCGGCAGTCGAACATCCCCCGAGGGGTCCTGGATTAGGGTGCAGGCTGGGCTGAGGGACACCCCCCCTCTCCTGCACAAATTTTGTGCACTGGGTCTCTAGTTTATATGTATGTATGTGTGTGTATATATATATATATATATATAGAGAGAGAGAGAGAGAGAGAGAGAGAGAGAAAGAAAAGATTCTTGTGTTTAGAATTTTAATGATCATTGTTTTCCTTACTGTCTTAAAATGCCTTGTATATTTCTCTCTACTCTTTTGTGAAGGAGAGAAATTTTATGAGAGGGGTCTAGAATTAAAGGCTCAGAGGTGGAAATGCTCATGTTGACTTATGCAGCCTGTTTTTATGCTTACCTATAATGACAGGACATCTTTGTTTCCTTGCCATATTGCTTTTGCATTCTAGGCAGTAGAGTGCAAAACCACTCGCCTGCCTGCCTGGCTGATCACCCCTAACTGCCTCTACCCGTCTGCCTCATCACCCCTAACCACTCTGCCTGCCTGCCTGATTGGCCCTAACCACTCTGCATGCCTGATTGTCCCTAATCACGTCTGCCTCGGCCCCCGCCCGCCGCAACTTTGTCAGGAAGGTTGTCCAAAAGGACGTCCAGAAGGTTGTTCAGCTGTCTGGTCTAATTAGCATATTATGCTTTTATTATTGTAGATATCATCTTTATATCCCTTGCTCACTTGTGTAATTGACCAGTGATTCTTTAATCTTTTTATGATTATTTTCTTGCTGTTCTAGGTATCATTTATTTGGGGGGGAAAAAAATAAACATATTACTTGATGTGTCATGAAAGTAAGCTAAAGTCCATGGTGTGAAATAAACTCAACCTTCACTGTTCATGAAGTCTTAATATAATACTGAATATAAGTTCTGTCTAACTTTAAAAGAGTTCTGTAAATTTTCTTTTAAAAAAATGAACTGAAATTAGAAAAAGCTTCTGTATGTGTATACTAAGTATGATAAGCCATTTAAGAAAATGTTTGTATTGGATTGTTTGTTTAATTCATAAAGTTAAACAGCACAGTAGGTACTTGGAAAAATTACCTCTTATTTTTATCACAAAATATTACTATGTTTTATGTAGGCTCCTTGAAGTTCGTGGAAGACTCTATGAACTTTTAACTCATTGTATTCCTCCTGAAATAATAATGAAGGTAATCTGATTTCACATCTTGAATCTTTTATAAGCATAAAATTTGCAATCATAAGATAACACTCACTTCTTATCCAGTTCATTAATTCAGCAGATATTTTTTGAGCATCTACTGTATGTCAGGCATCATAAGGGGGATGATGAAGAAGACAGGAAAGGTCCTGCCTTCAGAGAAGTTACATTTTAATAGGGTCAGATTAGAAACAAGTAAAGAAACAAAAGGATTTCAAATGTTTTAAATGTGAAGAAAGAAGTAACAAGGTGAAATAAGGGAGAGTGGAGCCATGGAAGGTCAGCAATAGATTCTCTGAGGAAGGTTATGCTTAAGCTGAGACTTAAAGGATTAAAAGAAGGGAATCGTGTAAATGACTGGGGAACAAGTATTTCAGACTACTAGATTCAGTGAACATGGGGAATGAGGTTAAATGTGTAGGCAGAATCTGAATTATGATATATTGTAAGGCACAGCTTTAGAGTTGGTCTGTCAGCTACCTACCTAGCTGGATTGATTTGTTAGGAAATGCAGGGTTTTTTGTTGTTGTTTATTTGTATTTAAATGGTAATATTTACATGAAAAAATTCAGTGACCCAACTATACAAAAAAAAATGAAGCTCTACCCTTTCATTTCCATAAGGATAACCAGTTTCAACAGACCTCTATTCTGTTCACATGGAAATACAGTAGGTCCTCGGGTTACCTTGGAGATCCGTTCCTATTGCGAGACTTAACACGATTTTCGCCGTAAGTCAAACCCACCTACATAAGCACCTACGTCACTCACATAGAGCACTTAGACAGCAGTAATGAAGTGAAACAGTGAAAAAAAATTTTAAAGAAAGATAACAATTCCTGACTTTTACTTGTGGTAAATAAATAATAAAAAACATAAAGCACATCTAATCTAATAAAAGACAAAAAGGGTAATTAACCGTACCTCCGCTACGCTTCTCATTGGCTAATTAGAGTGATATGCAAATTAACTGCCAACAAAGATGGCGGTTAATTTGCATACGTAGGCACAATGATGGGAGGCGAAAGGGGAAGGACGGAAGAACAGTGATCGGAAACTTAGGCAGCAAGCAAGAGCCGGGTGGCAGGGCAAAGGCGGCCCTGTGATTGCATGGCGATTAGAGGGAGAGAGAGCCGGGGCTCAGGCCAGGCGGCACCCCCGGGG